CAGGCACGGTAAGCAGGCTTAGGACGGGCTAGTTTGAGTAACTTCAGCAGCCTCTGGGGCTATGTGGACTCTCCCAAGTTAACCAGTTCTTAGCTCTGAGATAATTAAGGGAGGTGAATAGCAGCCTGGAGTGTGAAATTCCCCTGGGGCAGGCGAAGAAGGTGGTAGGCTTTGGATTGCCCACAGGGTAGGCAAGACCCCAGATGTCAAAGCATCCAGACCCCTCTGTTAATACAGAATCAGACTTGGAATCATATCCACACAGACCCTCTGAATATGAGAGACATCATCCGTATCCTTAGGTTTACCCAGAGAGCTGGAATTTTTTTGTGTGAACCCACTCGGACATTCCGCACTGGTAGGTAAGCAAATGCAATATCGCCATCTAGTGCCTCAAAGGAGGACCTTTGACAAGGCTCTCAGGAAAAACCAAAAGAGCAGATAAGTGTTAGTCATTCAGCCGTGCCCAACTCTTTGCCACCCCATGGACTGTAGCTCGCCAGGCTTCTCTGTCCATGGGATTTTCCAGGCAAGAATACCGGAATGGGTAGCCATTCCCTTCTCCAGGGGATCTTCCCAACCCCGGGATCAAACCCGGGTCTCCTGCATTGCAGGCAGATTCTTCACCATCTGAGCCACCAGGGAAACCCAAAAGAACAGAACTGGGATCTCCACTTTGAACAGACACTGTCAGCCTTTCCCATTTACCTAGAAGTTCTTCTTCCCAAGTTTGTGCTGGGCCTGGGCATGGGATTGAGATGTCTGAGGTCTGTTTTCTTCTGGGCACTTTTGACTCACCAGCTCCCTAGCACAGATGGAAAGTTCAGGATGAATTAAATATCCAGGATTACAGAAGAATAATATGACAGCCCTGGAACTCACTGGGTTTCCCAGGCTGTTTCTTGGTGATAAAGGTTAACAGGAAACTGCTTTCCAGTTTCTGTCAAAAAGGAAATGATTTTTTTCCCCTCCATCTCAGAATATAGTTATTTCCTCCACCTTCCTGTCTCTTGTGAAGCCAGAGAACAAATACTACCTCAAAAGGCATAGAATTTGCTATCTAATTTCATTCCCCATTATTAGAGAGCTGGAAAGGGATGTAATGTTTTTGCTTAATATGCTATTGAAGAAAAAATTGGGAGGGGGTGGGACAGAATGTCTTCACTCCTTAATTGTCCAGCATTAAAATGAATGGGATCGAGACATAAGGCATTGTTTTGAAAATCAAGTTATTTCAGACCCAACATCTTTAGGTTCAAAATTATTACAGAACTAAGGTCACTCACTGGCAAATTCCAGAAGCCTCTGCTATTCTCCTGGCTCTAGGATTCAAAGTCATCAGCATATCTCTGTGAACAGCTTTGTACATTCACACTGAGAGAAGGGGCAGAGGGGCTGGGGCTGGGTGTGGAGTGTGGAGTGTGAGGACCCCTAATCATTATAAAAGGTCTGGGAAAGCATTTATTGTTTTTCTCCCTCCTGCATGTCTTTGTCACTCATTTCACTGTTCAGTAAGAACTCCCAACAGTGGCGTACAGAGAGGAGAACAGTTGAAAATCAGAGTTTTTCACTCATAGAAACTTACATGTTATATATGCAGTGGAATACTACTCAGCCATAAAAAAGAACAAAATAATGGCGTTTGCAGCAATATGGATGAAACTAGAGATTATCATACTATGTGAAGTAATTCAGAAAAAGGAAGACAAGTCCCATATGATATCACTTTTATGTGAAATCTAAGCTATGACACAAAAGGAGCTTATCTATGAAACAGAAACAGACTCACAAGATACAGAGGGCAGACTTGTGTTTGCCAAGGGGCAGGGAGGGAGGGAGAGGGATGGATTGGACTTGGGGTTTGGTACCCCGCCAGACTCCTCTGTCTGTGGAATTCTCCAGGCAAGAATGCTGGAGTAGGGTTTCCCTGGTGGCTCAGTGTAGGAGGCACAGGTTCGATCCCTGATCTGGGAAGATCCCTTATGCTGCAGAGTAACTCAGCCAGTGTGTCAGAACTGCTGAGCCTGTGCAGAGCGCAGGAGCTACAACTGCTGGGCCCATGTGGTGCAGCAACTCCTGAAGCTCTCGCACCCCAGAGCCCCTGCTCCACAACAAGAGAAGCCAGTGCAACGAGGAGCTTGTGTGCTGCAACTAGAGAGTTGCTCCTGCTCTTGCAACTAGAGTAAAGCTCATTCATCAGCGAAGACCCAGCACAGCCAGAAATTTTTTAAATTATATATAAAAAAAGGAACTATATTCAATGTCCTGTGATAAGCTATAATGGAAAAGAATTTTAAAAAAAGAATGTATAAAGAAATAAATTTTTAAAAAATTGTACATGTTGGTGCCAGGTCCTGGACTAGTGCTGGAAATGCAAAAATGAATGAGATTGGGTCCCAGCCCTTAAGGAGTCAGCAGCCTAGTGAGAAGGCCTCTCAGGGAACAGGGAATCATGGGACCAGGGGCCACAATAAGCAGAGGGTGTCACCGGAGTCCAGGAGAGGAGATCCTCTGTGGGGACTGTCCTCAGAGTCAGTGAAAACATGTCATGACTGAGCAAGGCAGAAGGGAGCAGGAGTGAGCTGGGATCTGCAGCAGGATTGTTCTGGGGGTGAGAGGAATAGCTTGGACACAGGTATAGAGGCAGAATTGATTTGTAATAGGCCATGCTTGCAGGTCTCTGGGCTTCCCTAGGAGCTCAGCTGGTAAAGAATCCACCTGCAATGCAGGAGACCCCAGTTCGACTCCTGGGTTGGGGAGATCCCTTGGAAGAGGACATGGCAACCCCCTCTAGTGTTCTTGCCTAGAGAATCCCATGGACAGAGGAGCCTGGCGGGCTACAGTCCATGTGGTCCGTCGCAAAGAGTCGGAACCACTGATCGACTAAGCACAGTACTGCAAGTCTCCCAGCTAATCTGGCTTTGCTCTCCCCTAGCCCCCTGCCTCAGAGCCCTGAGCCTTTGTCACCCTCCCCTCCCCCACCTGCCTTCCTTTCCCTTCCCTTCCATCTGTCTGCCTTCTTTTCTTCTGATTTTGCTATTCTGACTACCCATCGCCAAGAACCTTTTACAAGGGATGGAGACTTTTAAATGGCATCACATTTAACTTGCAGTTGCATGGATCAGATGTAAAACCCTGGGATATGTACTGACTGTACTGCACCATTTTATATCAGAGACTTGAGCATCCAAGGGATATCCTTGGGGATGGGATCCTGGAACCAATCCCCTGCCAATACAGACAGACAACTGTGTTTTGTTTTGAGAAGTAGAATTTGCTACCGCATTTAAAGTCTTTGTTATTAGGAGAGTGAAAGGGGCGCAGCTTTCCAGTTTCTCTGAGATTGCTACAGACCCTTTATTGAGACCTTCATGACCTAAAACACTTGGTCCAAAAGCTGGAGGCAAGTGCTTTGTTTTTTCAGTAGGGGAAAGGTGTAATCAGCCAGCCTGTTCATTCCCAGGCTTTGCACAAATGAAGATAGTATTGTAATTTCCAAAAATTTTATAGACCTTTCATGATGGTAATTGTAGGACTAATATTGTGGATTGAAAACATCTACTAATATCTGAAGTTACTCTGGAGTTACTCACAAATTTAACTGAATCTGTGTTGTATTCATCACAACAGCCTCTGTGCATATCTGCGAAATGGTCAAAGATGTTGTTTACTTAGCTGTAGACCAGAGGTTGCAAGGTGGGATGCCATGGACTTGCCCTAGCCTACACAAACGTGTTGTCTGCCTTATGCAATGTTGGTGTGTTGGTTTTGCTGTTTTTCTTGTTGTTTAGTCTCGAAGTCATTTCTGACTCTTGCAACCCCATGGACTGTAGCCCATTACCTCCTCTGTCCATAGAATTCTCCAGGCAAGAATACTGGAGTGGGTTGCCATTTCCTGCTCCAGTAGATTTTCCCAGCCCAGGGATCTGCATGCAAGCAGATTCTTTACCACTGAGCCACCAGGAAGCTCTTAATCTGAATTAGGTTCCAGTACTTGAAAGCAGCAGACGTTTTAGGTGGGGAACTGCTGACTGTGTCCTGCTATCCTTTATAGTCTGGCAAGCAGAAGCCCAGCATGACTTGTCCAGAATCACACAGCCCTAGGCGCAGATTACTGGGCTCTTGGCTTCCTCCCCATGACTCCTTCCATCACATCTTAACGCTGTTCTGAAAGACCACAGCACTTGTTTTTTTCTCATTTCAGTTTCCACAAGCGCCCCCCCACCGGGAGTTGTCACCCCTTACTCAGAACCTCCTCCCCTCCAAGGCTCTGCATGCCAATCATTTCCTTCTCCCCTGTCATCCCGGCTCCTTCAGTATAACTGATCCTGAGACAAGTACAAGTGCCTTATCTAATTAGGGAATTGAATAAACTCCAGAATCAACTTGTAAAGACTTATTGAATGCAAACTTAAATAATTTCAGCATGTGTCATCTTGAAAAAAACCCCATAAGCTTCATCTGCATAAGAATCCAATTTTCATTTGGCTTCATGTTCATGAATATCACAGTGTTAAGAACACCGGCCCCAGCCTTCTGGATGTTGAGATGTCAAACCCCACCTTGCTGTCTTCAGAAGATCTGTCGTAACCATTTCAAAGAAGAATAAGGCCCTTTATTCGACTAAGCAAAAGAAATTATCTTTTAAAACTCCAACTTAACAGTGATTAGGACAGAAAGTAATGTGATGGAAGCAAGTGACATTGTAAAAAAAAATTGGGAACAGGTAAGGAAAATAGAAGTAAATGGTCAAGTTCAAGTTTACTCCTGGAGGCTGATGGCAAACCTGGCTCCTAGCTATGGAAAGGGCTGTCAGTCTTGATGGTCCTAATCCACTATAAATAAAACTTGAAAAGCACTAAGAAATTGATGACTTTTTCTTTTGTTCCCGTTGGGTTGGAACTCCTCATCCTGCAGTCAGATCATGTAACTCAGACAACTTGATTTTCTGCCTCATCGGTCGGTGTGTCTATGGTTCATTGGCAGCTGTTCTCTTGCAGGTTCTATATTGAGAGCATCTCATACCTGAAGGACAATGCCACCATCGAGCTTTTCTTCCTGAATGCCAAGTCCTGTATCTACAAGGTAAGAACTACTTCTTCCTGTTTGGAGTTTTCTGTTGAAATCTGACAGTCTCCTTTGTAGCTGGGAATCCCAGCTTGCTGCCCTTAATGCGATGCTATTGATTAGTAGAAAGTGTGTTAGTCACTCAGTCATGTCCGACTCTACGACCCCATGGACTATAGCCCCCACAGGCTCCTCTGTCCAATGGATTCTCCAGGCGAGAATATTGGAGTGGGCTGCTGTTTCCTTCTCTAGGGGATCTTCCTGTCCCAGGGGTTGAACTCCAGTCTCCTGCATTGCATCCACTACTTCTATTGATTAGTAGAAGTAATTTCTAAATTAATGGCTATAAATAAATGAGAACTCCAAGCAGCTAAAGCTGTCAAGTGTTTATAACATGACTCCTTCCAGTCCTGTAACCATGTTATGGCTCCTTGGAGGTGTTTCTTAACTTGATTAGGAGTCTCCTTAACTTGGCAACTGTGACCTAAAAAGGGAAACCCAGACTAGTGTGACAAATGTACTAGGTCTCATAAGGATAAATGAGCCTCTTATAACCAAATGCATGTATATTTGATCATTTTTGGATATTCTGGAAGTATCTTTCAAAAGGATGCTATTGGTACTTTGGGTGGGACAACTTTTTAAATTTATTTATTGAAGTCTAGCTGATTTAGTGGAGGACAGGGAAGCCTGGCATACTGCAGTTCGTGGGGTCGCAAAGAGTTGGACACGACTTAGTGATGGAAAAAGAACAAGAAGTTGATTTACAGTGTCTTTGCTGTACAACAAAGTGATTCATTTAGACATATATTCATTCATTTTTGTATTCTTTCCCATTGTGGTTTATCCCGGAATATTGAATATCATTCCCTGCACTGTGCAGTAAGGGCTCTTGTTTTTCCATTCTGTATATAGTAGTTTGCATCTGCTAATCCCAAGCTCCCAATCCATCCCTCCCCACCCCAACCCTCTTATCAACCACTGTTCTCTATGGCAGTGGGACTTTTTTTAACTGTGATAAAATTTACCATGGTAACCACTGATAAGTGTATATTAACACTTAACAGGTATCACATGTTTACCTTGTGCAACCACTCTTGCCATCTATCCACAGAATTCCTCATCTTACTAAACTGAAACTCTGTATCCCTTAAACAATAACTCCCTATTCTCTGGCAACTTCCATCCTACTTTCTATTTCTCTGTATTTGATTATTCTGGGTCCCTCACATAAGGGGACTCCTGCAATATTTGACCTTCTGTGTCGGGTTTATTTCACTTAGCATAATGTCCTCAAGGTTCATCCATATTGTATAATGTGTCAGAATTTCCTTCATTTTTACAGCTAATATTCCATTGTATGCATTTTCCACCTTTTGTTTATTCATCCATCCATCAGTGGATACTTGCGTTACTTTCACTTTTTGGTTGTTAGGAGTAATGCTGCTATGAACATTGTTGTTCAGTCACTCAGTCGTCTCCGACTCTGCAACCCCACAGACTGCAGCATGCCAGGCTTCCCTGTCCTTCATTATCTCCTGGAATTTGCCCGAACTCACATCCATTGAGTCAATGATACCATCCAACCATCTTATCCTCTGTCACCCCCTTCTCCTCTTGCCCTCAATCTTTCCCAGCATCAGGGTCTTTTTCAGTAAGTCGACTCTTCATATCAGGTGGCCAAAGTATTGGAGCTTCAGCTTCAGCAGCAGTCCTTCCAGTGAATATTCAGAGTTGATTCCCTTTAGGATTGGCTGGTGTGATCTCCTAGATGTCCAAGGGACTCTCAAGAGCCTTCACCAACACCACAATTCGAAAGCATCAATTCTTCAGCCTCCTTTAAAGTTCACCTCTCACATCCGTATGTGACTACTGGAAAAACATAGGTTTATAAGTTTATATTCATATCCCTGCTTTCAGTTGTTTGGGGTGAATACCCAGAAGTGGAGTTGCTCAATCATGTGGTAATTCTGTTTTTCAGTTTTTTAGGACCTGCCTTACTGCTTTCCTTAAAGACTGCATCATTTTATATTCCCACCAACAGCACATAAAGATTCCAAATTTGCACATCCTCACCAACACTTACTATTTTCTGGGTTTTCAAAAAAAAAAAAACAAAGAACCATCCTAGTGGTGTTAGGCGGTCTCTCCTTGTGGCTTTGATTTGCATTTCCCTGATGATAGCGATGTTGAACATCATCTCCTGTGCTCCCTGGCCATTTGTACATCTTCTTTAGGGCCATGTCTCTTCATGGGACAGTTCTTAATTGAGTGGGACAGTGTCTTGCATCCAATTCCCCATATTCTTGTAGTGTTTCCTTTCACTGGATAACCCAAAATGCCCACAGAAAATTTTGAGGACACACTCCATCCTGGGGTTGAGAATCATAACTAGGACAATGTATGTATGTATTTATTTATTTATTTGTAGGTCAACTGAACTGGTCCATTTATTTATTTATTTATTTTTCCATTTATTTTTATTAGTTGGAGGCTAATTACTTTACATCATTGCAGTGGTTTTTGTCATACATTGAAATTAGGACAATGTATTTAAAGTAAAGACCCACTCTGCAACAACCGCCAACAAACCTCCTTCTGTCTCATGAGTGCAGCCTTAGGCCAGCTCATTAACGGCCAGAGAGAGGGATTGCTGATACCTACTCCCATGGCACCATGGTGGGCTTGGCGCTGAGTGCTCTCTGTAAGTTATGTGGCTGAAACTTTGCACCATCTCTGAAGTGAATACTGTTCTTTATCCTAGCTTTCTCTGTGAGGCAGCTGAGACACAGGGTAGTTATGAGATTCACCAGGGTTGCATATCGACTGAATGGCTGACGCTGGCAGCCTGACTCAGGATCGCAGAGCTCAGCCTTTGGGCTGCACTGTGCCCTCGCCGTCAAACCCTCCACAGAGAACTTCAAAGCCAGGTACACCTGTTGTGACATGGTCAATGGCTGTGTTCAAAGGAGTTCCCATCCTGCTGCCTATACTTTTCCTGCTTAACTAAACCCAGCTTTGAGGGACTGCAGCAACCCACCACATGTCAAAGCACACATGAGACTTGAAATGGTCTATCAGCCATCACTTTTCCTTCTAGACTGATTTCAGCACCTCACTGCACAAAATAGTTCCACCAAATGCAAGTGTTCAAAATCCTGGAGGCTATGGTAGTGATCAAATTCAACCTGTGAAAGAACCTCACTCGCTGACAGTTGCTGAATCAGGACTTAACCTGAGCTCAAGCTCAGGGTACTCTGAGTAGAGTATTTGGGGATTTTGCTAAATGGCAGCACAAAGATGCTAAATGTCGTTCTAGGGATTTGTGGTTTTCTTTCTCTCTCTAAACCTCATTTTCTCACTATAAAGTGAAAATAATACCAGCCTTATTTATCTCATAGGTGGTAACAAGTGTCTGATGGCCTTTGCTTAGTCCGTGTGAAAGCAGTTCGAAAGAAATAAACAGTGAGGACTTGTCCACAAGGGGGCAGACTTGGGCAGTAGATGCTTAGAAAGTTGCTACTGGTATGAGATCGCCATCAACCCTGGCAAGTGAAAAGTTGCCCCCAGATTGTGCTTATCCAGGCCCCTGGGTTAAGGGAGCAAACATGGTTTCTCCAGAGTTGTTCAGTTCAGTCTAGTCACAGATGCTGAGCTGAAGGTGATGACTTCGGTGTTCCTGAATCATGATCACAGAGGTTTCTGGGATTAATGGGAAATAAAAAGAAATTCCCAGAACTAAATATTATAGGTTCCCCAAGTGGAGGAGGTGATACATTAGGAACAAGCTACATATAGGGTCCAGGATGCCCATAGCATCAGCCTGCCTGCAGACCTGAGTGCCCTTCTAGAGCCCCCGCTCTCTCTTCTCAGCATCTGTCCTGGAGTGTAGTGAGTCCTGCCAGTGAGCCGGAGATAGCTTTTCTGATGGTGACAAAGGAGACAGAATCACGTCACAAGGCCACCTGTCTCTCATCATCAAAAAGAATATTTTTATTTGCATAATTGACAGCATATACAATTTTTCTTTTAATTTTATTGGAGTATAGTTACAGTGCTGTTATTTTCAGATATACAGCAAAATGATTCAGTTATATATATATTCATTCTTTTTTAGGTTCTTTTCTCGTATAGGTTATCCCAGAATATTGAGTAGAGTTCCCTGTGCTACACAGTAGTTCCTTGTTGGTCGTCTGTCTTATATATCGTAGTGATTGTTGTTGTTCAGTTGCTCAGTTATGTCAGATTCTTTGTGCCCCCAGGGACTGCAGCATACCAGGCTTCCCTTCACTATCTCCCAGAGTTTGTTCAAACTCACGTCCATTGAGTTGGTGATGCCATCCAACCATCTCATCCTGTCGCCCCCTTCCTCTCCTGCCCTCAATCTTTCCCAGCATCAGGGTCTTTTTCAATGAGTTGGCTCTTCACATAAGGTGGCCAAAGTATTAGAGCTTCAGCATCAGTCCTCCCAATGAATATTCAGGCTTTATCTCTGTGCATAACCGTGTGTGTGTTTATCCCAAGCTCCTGCTTTATCCCTCCACCCCCACATTTCCTCTTTGGTAACCGTAAGTGGGTTTCCTATATCTTTAAGTCCTTTCTGTTTTGTAAATAAATTCATTTGTTTCATTTAAACATTTCTTTCACATATATTACGTATGTGAGACTCACAAGTGAGATGGAATCATCGAGTTTACTGAGGGAGGAAAGTGGTGCTGGAGAGAGTTAATAACTTAGTCAAAGACAAGGAACCTGAAGTGGTGGAACAGGTTTGGCACCACTGTAAATATGCAAAGATGGCAGAAGGCTCTGGAGCAGAGTGATTCTGATTAGGGATTTGGATTCCTGGGTTCCTTCCTACCTCTGCATCTTAGCAACTGCAATAAATGTGGACACCTTCTGTGATGTCTCCGAGCTTCATTTTCCTCTTGAGTTGAATAACAATATTAAAAAACCCAAACCCACCAGCTTCTTGGGAAGATTAAGCAAGATAGATGTGAATGTGGCCAGCACCCCAC